TAGAAATAGAATTTAAAAATGAATAGAAGCTATTTAACTCTACAGAAAAAGCTTTCCCTAGGTAAAGGCTGAATATTCATTTCATCTGTAATACTTTCAACATTAAAGATTTAAAATAATAATAAATTTTAAAATCTGCTAACCAAATGTTGATCTTTCAAAAGATCAGATTATACCATAACATGATATAGTTAGCCTTATAAATCTCCATATTTGTAATCACAGCACTTCAAAAAGGTAAAGTTGGGAGTTTTTGTATATAGCATTATGTTTTTAAAAACTTACATAGCTAAAACAGAGGAAAGCAGAGTTCCTATGTTATTAGCTTTGGACCAGATGCTTGATTTCTCTGACACTCAGTTATCTAAAAACAGGCATTATAGTAATAATTTTCTTGCTTATTTCACAAAATGTTGGGTACACTAAAGCAAAATTATGTATGTGAAAACCTTCTGCAAAGTGCAACTCACTCTGCAAATTCAATAATGTTTTTATTTTACTTGTCTTGAAATATTAGAATACTCATAAATATAGCACACTAACCACAGATGTGCATGTACATACAGAGATGAAGGAAATAGGTTTAATTTCAGTTCCTAGAAAGGCTCCACCAAGTTATAGTATGTGGAATAATTGTTTTCCTTCTTTGTATCTATTTTTCTCTATACAATAATTTTAAATTTGTAGAAAAAAAGGGAATTGAAATTATGAAAATTACAATGACGATTCTAACAGAGTGTACAACAAAGTATACACGTTTGAGAAGGTCAAGAAAGCTTACTATCTGAAATTTAATTACTGTCTGAAATTTAATCCTGTAAGAATAAATTAGAAAAAATTAATGACCTTAATTATCTGCATCACTGACCCACCCTAAGAGATTTGGAAATACATTGCTGCTAAGAGTAAAGTATATCTCAAATCTAATCATGCAAACTGGGTGATGAGAGCTGTGAGCTATACAATGGTTTTGTAATTTGTCTTGCATAGGGTAACAGTGACTGCTTTTAAAATATAAAAAATAATAACTTCTTCCTAAAATATTACATTAATGAGGAATAAAATCATTTATCTAGATAGAAATATCCTTACAGCAGAATTTCTTAAAACTATCTAAAACATTACACCTACATCAGAGTATACTGGTAAGATTTCTGGGCCTGTTCCTAAACCAACTAATTGATAAATTACAATGCCCATAGGAAACATGTCTGTCAGGATATCTTTATTTACTTTTGGCTCAGGAAAGACCCTCCTTGTGATCTATCAAATCATAGATCAATACATATCTTCTTTGTTCTCCTCACTGAATATTGAAGACATAGAAAACATGAAGGAATATGTTTAACTTTAGGAAACTGTATGAGTTTCCCTTCTATACTCTAGTCAATCATTCTCAAGCTTTAATGAATGTAAGAATGACCTGAAGAGCTTCTAATAAATGTGTATTTCAAGGCCACTATTAGATTATAGGTTTTCAGATTTCTGCATTGGCCTCTCTTAAGCATTAAATTTTTGTCATCTCCATGAGAGCTGGGAAAGTCAAACATCTGGATCTGAAGAGCTATAACCTAGACAAGCTGGAGGTCCCTGACTGATTCACCGAGGGACCCAAAACCCACCCACTACAAGGCCCCCCTGAGAATCCAGGTGACCTTTCTCTCTGTGCCTCCTGGTCCATTACTGCCCTTAGGAACCTTTTTTAATATTGCACATCCTCAATTGCTCAGAATTCTATATGGAAAATTAATTAACAAATCAAATGGAAATTTGTCCTAATATCTCTTTTACAGACAGTTTTCTAAATAAGTGCTGCTACAAAGTAAAAATGTTTTAAGCAAATAACTTCAGTGACTATTCTCTGCACAGTTGAAAGTTTTACACGGCCCACGCCAATATTTAATGAGACAGGAATAACAGAGTGGAAAACTAGTAGAGAGGAAGAAAGCAAAGTGACTGACAGGGCCTTTGAAAGACTTCAGTTATATTTAGAGTTTCCTCTCAAGTTTCAAGTTGAGTGTTTCAAGATTTTATAACTGAAAACAGAAGACAGACCTGACTGTTCCTTCAATCACAGTTCCTTCCTTCAATAAGATTGCCTGTGCATTGGAACCTTAATCAAGTATCCAAGATGCAACTCCTCACTTGTCTTCTCTGAGAGAAATTGCTTTGTTACAGTTACATCTAGTTAAGCTGGATGATTACTTTCCAAGGGATATGGAAACTATGAAGAGATCCAGGGAAGAGTCCCACCTGGTCCCCTACCCACGCATGGAAGGAATTGAAACGTAACTTCTGCTTTTAGCCCCTCGGACTTCTCTGCTACTGTACCGTGGAACGAATGTGGAAACCCACTCATTCATTCTAAGGCATATGCCAAAGACACTCATCACTGCCTATGACACATCCCTGAGCAAGCAGCAGGTGTCCGAGTCCGCTCTCCCTAATGCTGTGTAGGTTGTGTCGCACAACTGCGGGGAGTGCTGCTCACACAATGATGTGAATGGAGCCCCCTGAAATAGTGCAACTGGCAGTGCTGATCCAAGGTAGGTGCTCCTTTAACTTATGTTTGGTCCTGAAGAGATCAGAGAATATTGAATGATGATGATGATGAAACTGAAGATGACCAAAACTTGTGAATACCTACAATATGCTGATTACCCACGTTAGAAGAAAGAAGAACCAGAT